CATTCGCAATGCAATGGAGTTTAATTAGAACACTAAGTGAAGTGATTGTAATTTTGAAAATTCACTGAAATAACCTATAACAGAAGCCTAGTTTTTAAAATAAAACATTTAATAGCAATCAAAATGAAAGTATTTAAAGATCGTAACGAAGCCAAAAACATTCATAGATACATTTTATCAATTTCTTGCTTTTATTTCGGCCAAAATATTAATCAAGGTTAACTGATGCAGATATTACTCTTAAAGTAGGCTAAAATTCATTTGCGTAATATTAACTTGATTAGCGCATTTAATATCAACGATTTGGGGTGTGCGATAGACTTACCTCCACGTGGGGCACTCTGGGCAACGTATACTCATACGGCAAAAAGTCTATTAACAGGCAGTTGACTTCTCACTTCAAACTACCAACACCCCACTGTATGTCATATTCAACCCCTACCACAGTACTCATCTTACATTTTCTCTGCCTTTGTGTCCGTCTCTTTTACAACTGTAAACCACTCTTCTGTTCCCCATCCCTCGACTTTCTTTCACTTTGATGCTCCTTCCCCCTGTGAAGCCAAAAGTCAGCTTAAGGGCTAATGATAACTATCAAAACGCCTGCCATTTGAAATAAATAAATAAATATCAACGATTTTACTGATATTTTTGTCAAAATTTGCATAATCTCTGACATTAAATACAAATATAGTCCTTTTCTTTAACCTTAAAGTCCACTTTAGTCTTTAAACAAGAAAAAAGATATTCATTAAACAATAAAAACTTGCAAGAAGACAAAACTAGATTTACAATATGAGGGTGGGTTGTTTGAAAAGGAATTTTCAAATTTTGATGATCTGTTTTGTGAGCCATGTCTGAGTAACATTCCTTGTGGAACACCGTCAAAAGAGACGCTTTGAATTCATTTCAAAAATATGTGAACTGCGAGTGAAATGCTGTCTGTTGTATTAGTTTTCATGACCCATTTATTTTATTAAGAAACCATCACTTAACGTTATTAATGTTGCTCACATATATTATGATTGTGGAATCCAAATAGCATGAACAAACACAATAAAACAATTGATAAAGGAGAGGGAACCAATAAGATACGACATGTCAATAATTCTGATAATAGAATTCGATTAGAATGATATTTGGTAGATGGGATATTTAAGTTCAGATATTCAAGGTTCAGTATTTTTACCATCGACTAGATCAAGTAATTTTTCAAAGCCATTATCATTTTTTAATCAAGGGCTCACATGTTTTACCACACAAGTTTAATTTTTCTTTTAGTGGTTAAAAACCACGAATATTTATGAGTGATATTTGGTTGCAGATCTAACAAAACTATGTTCATGCCCGATAATGCAAATGATTTTCAGATTTACATTTATGTTTACTGTCAGCCATTCAAATCAGAAAAGTAAAACATACCTAGATATTCACAACATATATACAGATTATATGAAAAAATAAAAAAACTATATTTGTAGGCTGTAACCACGCTGCTTGAGAGAGTAATTAAATAAACATTAAGTTAAGTTATAAAAATATAATCAAATATTACTTTTGCCAAAATACAAAATTATTGCAATTAATTTATATAATTAAACTAATGACTAAGAAAATAATTAAATAACAGAAAACAGATTGACGAATCTTTGAAACATGAGTATAGTGCGCAGAAATTCCTCTCCAGATTTCATATTATTAAATTTAATCACATCCTCTCTCATAACTAAAGATAACAATAATTTTTTTGCCATTCATTGTAGGAGTGATGTTTTAATTAAAATCTATGCATTTAAGTAGATTTTACTTGAATTAACAATCCATAGGTTCCTTTTGTGTCCAAATTGACATTTCTGACAAATTCGACTTCCGCAGAGGTTTGAGGTTAGTATATCTACATTTTTAAATGGTATTGTGGACTGACGCGAAAAAAATATTTACCAGAAGAAAAAACGGTAAATCAAAAGTGGTCGTTAAACACTGATTTTTTTATAAAAAAATTTGATTCTTTAAAGACGTCTATTATGCCTTTTTGTGCAATATTTGCCTTTCCGATTGGCTTTAAACCGATATATCTTTTTTAAGTTAAACTGGACTTCTGTTTTCTTTAAATCATTTAGCTGACTTCTTCCATCAACTCATGACAATGAAAATAATTTCAAATTTATCGACATCAAATACTAATTTAAATTAAAATCTCAAACTCTCAATATCATGAACTTTTAATGGCATTTAGAAAAATATGGGGAGAGTTAGTTAGAAAGGGTGCAGTTATCTACACTCTTTTCTGCAGATTAGATTAAATTTTAAGTAAAACATAACCGTTCTATTATCTGATTTCCCCTCACCCTCTCCAAACAATTTATCAAATTGCTCTCCGTTCATTAGCATTCTGGCATTTCCTAATATCTAAAATGTCAAGTTTCTAGCCTCTGAAGATAATAGTATTTAGTAGTATTTAAGTTTACTAAACCAATTACCACTTCTAGAATCTTCTCAAATATGATATGAATCAATTGCCAACATAGTTTTCAACAAAAGAAAGTACTTTGGGAAAAATGGCCAATATTTATTATTTTCCAAACATGCTTGCAATCTAAAGTTCTTCGTTCGTAGAAAGGGTAATGGAGGCAGTCGATAAATTATGCATTAGGGTTCGAAAATAGTTATGCCGCCTTTATAGCGTAAATCACAGAAAGTTATAAAAAAGTGAGATTTGCCTACGTTCAAGATTGATACCAAACAGAATTCTAAATTAAATGACTTGGGCTAAGAAATAACTGAGTTAATTTGGAAATACTGGAAAAATTTATGTTTACATTGCTTGAACAATTTATTTTTTATTTATATTTTTTTCTACACTTAATCAGATATTTTATGGTCTTTGGAAGTAGGATTAATTTCATTTTAATTATCAAAGGTAAAAACTTGTGTAAATTTATCATGAGATTTTATCATGTCAAGCTTATTTGGAGAGGCAAGTAGAATAATCTACCTCGCTATATAAAGTGTTATTCGTATTAAGGGGAAGTTTTAATTTATTCCCGATTTAAGCATTAATGAACAAAATGAAAGCGCAAAAGATTAATTATTATTCTTTTCATAGTGCATTACTAACCCATAGGAGCATTTTGGAAAAAATATTATTTTAATTTCCCCTTTGAAAGGCAATGTGTGGTCGATAATTGAAATGCTGATGAAAACAAAATTTCCATTCTTTTAAATCTGAACTTCGTAGGGCACTTAGAATATCCAAAGCAAATTTCTATTATTCCTCTCAAAATTTTTGAGAAGCTGAAACCTTGTCTTTTATTGTCAACGACTGTGAGCTTTTGAAAGGTAAAAACAGATCTTTAATTGCTTACCATTTGCATTTGATCCGATCGAGAAGATAAAGTTTTCAGCATAATCCGACGAAGATCACCACCTTCCATGGTAGCAGTATAGCTGTGACTCCTTTGAGCACTGGACCTTCGATCCCAAATTCTACTGCTTGAAACGGTACTCCCTCCATTTCTACGATTGACGATATGATGAGATGTGAAAGCACCAAGAGACCAGAGATTTATTAATAACAGACATGCTTGTCGTCGTAGTGCAGCTCCAAGTGGTGCTGGTGGCAGTTGGCTATTAATTCCGTCCCGTCCCAAAGGTGACGATGATCTTCTTCGAAATCTTCGACTTCCAGACTTGTTTAAGCCGGGAAACGTTCTAGATGCTTTCTTTGGTTGATGATTAGCCAAACTCGTGGCTTCAGCTCGACTCCATCCATGAATTGGATATGCGAGGACACACAAAGCATGACCAATAAAGTTTTGTTGAGGAGAAAGAAATTCTAGCCACTCAAACTCATTTAACCCATGATCAATTAATGTCGAGAGAATTCGCCATTCAATCAGTGGTTCATCAGTATTGGTTCCGATTGTAGCATCGTCTTCTGCACCATGGCAACACCATCCAGCTAATCGACGTCCAGCGCTAATTGCCAGGGCATTGAACGCCATTACTGAGTCTAGACGGTTTGCAGACACACCAGATGACTGAATAACTCGCTCAAGTTGACTAAAATGTTCATGAAATAAACCGTTTCTTGGGTCCAGCGGTCCAGTAGGATAGTTAGGATGATCTGAATGGTCAACATCCTGATTGCAGTGTTCACAATCTTCTTTCGTATATTGTCTAGTCACACAATGTGTACCTACTATTTCAAATCCAGTTGCGAAGAAGTAATCCAAAACAGACTGATAGGTATAGGAGCCACGATTCCAATAGGCTCGATATGGTGTTGGTCTTTTCCATTGTCGTGAAGATTGCTTTTTGGTATTTAAGTTACCAACAAGTACAATCGAGTTTGCGGCTTTAGTAGTTGTGGAAAAAGGAGACCTACTAGAAGGCGACATCTCTCTTCTCGGGCTGTTCTGAGCAGATTTCCACGATCGTATGTCAAGAAAACTTCTGGAGGTAGGACTAGTAGGGGTTACATTATTGCTGATGTCAAAATTGTTAACAGTGCTATAAAGGTTGGAAAAAGATACGCTTAGCATCAGAGTAGCTAATGGACGAAGCCTCTTTTTTAGTTCAGCAGGAATATCCTCATGATGGACAGAACCGATATCACCAAGACGACTTGGACTGCTTTCTGGAGCACAGCAGATACAGTTTTGTGAAGTGAGCAAAGAATTTGGATATCTTGAACTAATGGTACTAAGTACACGCCTTCTTACTGGTTGGGGTTGACTGGGATTGTATACAGCCCCTTGAAATGTACTCGAACACTCATCCACTGATTTATCTTGTTCCTTCGCTTGTATTGTACACATTAGACGTAAGCATGACCATTCTCGGCAATCCACGGCCCATAAAAGAGGGCTAGAGGTTTGCTCAAAATCTGTTATATAACTGCTTCCTTGATCATTGTAAAATAATCGCTTTTTTGCTGTAATCCACTCATAATCAGGTCGAGGTGGAATTTCTCTGCGATCGAGAATACTGTTCTTAAGACGGAGAGAGGGAGAAGTTGGTTTCTGGTTTGAATATTCGTCTAGAAGGTCGATAATATACTTTCGAAGACACCTGGTATGTCCCATTTGAATAGCCGTTACAAGTCTGGCGGTTTTAGAGGTTGAATGAGAGCTAGAACTGTTGATGGGCGAAGCATGACGGCGTGGTGGTGAAGGTGTTCGAATAGATCGAAGAGGAAGTTTTAGGTGTTGAGGACTGGGATTATCGCATAACATCGGTGCTACATCTGACATGGTTTAAGTAAAAGGAAGTGTGGATGGGGCGAATTGTGTGGTTTGCGCACTTAAAACCCTTCACGCTTGTGTGTCTGTCTAACCGCCCGCCTGTCCTTACCACTAGATAAGAGCAATGTTGTATGCGTGGTTACGATCAGGTTACTTAAGGAAAGATGCACTCTTATGTCAATTTTAATAATTATTTCCCTAAAAATCCCAGACTGCTTTAGTTTATTGACGATCTTCATAGATTTTAACTTTGACAGGAGATCTAAGAACTTTGAAGCTATTTAAACGTTGAAACATTTAAAAAGAATATTGAAATACAACGTCAAAATAAAATTTGGCAATCAAATTCTTTTGCTTAAATTGCATTCATTTTTGTGACAGAGAAATCTTTAAATCCTGATTCTTGATTATTTCATGTTTCAATTTACATATTCTTTCTAACATCATAGTCACTATTATTTATTCATTTAGTTAAAAGGAAGTTTACTGACAATTTTCCTATCTATAGTCATATTGCCGGAATATTTACTTAACAATGATTACATTAATAAATCTTTGCACTTTCATGAAATTGACAGCAAAAGAACCGCAATTTTGGTAAATTTCATTTTGCAATTCATTAATTAGCTTTTTACATATGAAATGAAATCTTGAGGCAACTTATAAGCCAGTATAACGGCTTTTTAAATCAGTTATTAATAAAAAAGTCTTTTCACTATCATTAAATTAATGCTGCTGATATTCTTTGTGTGGCGCTTCTTATTATATTATATATGTCATATCAAATGGCAGGCGTTTTGATGGTTATCATTAGCCCTTTAGTTGACTTCAGGCTTCATAGAGGGAAGGAACATCAAAGTGAAAAAAGTTGAGAGGGGGGGAACAGAAGGGTGTTTCAAAGACGAAGGTAGAAAAGGTAGAAAAAAGGTGATGTGAGTACCGTGAAAGTAGCCGAATATGAAATACAGTAGGGTCATGTTAGTTTGAAGTGAGAAGTCAACTGCCAGTTTGTAGACTTTTTGCCGTATGAGTATATGTTGCCCAGGGTGCACCACGTGGAGGTAAGTCTATTGTACACTCCCTTCTTATTATATAATAATTATAAAGATTAGAAGGAAGCAAGAATAACCAAAGCATTGATTAATAGAAAGTAAAGGTCCAAATTATAGCTTTTATAAAGAATTTCAATAATCAATTCAATTCCAGTTATCTGGCATAATTTCTTCTGACCAATTAGCAAACTCTTTTAATCCTATGAGTGTCTTCTAGTACTGAGAAATAGGCTTTATGGGAAAGTTGAAGTGAAAAGAAGATATCACAAATATTGCTATATTTACTGACTAGATCAATTGAGCTGCTAAATCATCACAACCCATTGTTCACAAAGTTCCAGATTTAATTATCTTCTCCTCCAGTCAGATTTGCTAAGTTTTAGATTTCGAGGAGAGTGAAGATGCTTATTATAAATCATTACTATCTCACATTCTCTTAAGCCTCAGTTGACAAATTATGTAATTTTTCGTTATCACATATATAACCAAATTTCTGTGTGGAATCTATAGTGTCTTTCATGCACATACTTTACATGAATCTTCACTCCTGGTGAAAAGTATATTTGCTCAAACAGGAATAGCAGTTACAGCAAGTAGCAAATTTGTAATGGATGTTATATTTCCGCATTTAGAATTAATTAAAAAATACGGTTAGTTTTCTTAGTGGATTATCCTCATATTGTAAAAGTACTCTTCTCCGATAGAATTACTGAATACAGTGATTAATTTTTGAGAGCCGAAAACATCAGACTTAATGACTTTAATAATACTACAGAGAATTTTTTCTCGATTTACAGCTATGGGTAGTACATTTTCAGACATTCGAAGATTCTATTTTGCCCTATTCAGTTTGTAGCTGATTGCTACCTTAGTAAAGCCTGACCGACTCAGAAATCTCTATGGCAGATTCTCCTACATCTAGCTAGACTCCCAGAACCAGCTAAGCTATAGCCCAGCTATAAAGGAAACAGACGTGTAGCACGGAGCACGTTTATTCAGTACGGGTATTGCGGATCAAGTGTACACGCAGGGAGTTACTCATGATCAGGATGAGGGATTAGGTTAAACAGAGGTTGATGATTGGTCACTGTTTGTACGGTCGCTGCACACAGAGTTGTGCGGCCGCACCTCCCAATCCTGGCGAGCAGACATGCAGGCATACGATGACGCACAGAGCGACAACGTGTCCCACAGTTCCTTACTGGAGTAGCGAATAGAAGTCTCTTATTGAGCTGTCCACTAAAGCCCTGTTAGACACAAAACTTGGACGCACTTGGGTACTTCAGGGTTGATAAGTGGAAGATGAAGACTTATCGATCTAATCGAACGTTGACTCTGTAAGGTTTCAGTAATTTATCTTCCAAACAGGTACGTTGACAGTGGTGCTGTAAGTAGGCATTTATCCCCAATCCAAAAAACGTACGTTTTAGCACCATTGAAAGGCACCTGTAGTAGGTGGAACGTTCAAAAATTTTTTTTTTTAAATTAACAAAGAGAAAGCGCGTAATAGTTAAGAGGTAGTGAGGTCACCTTATCTGTGTTGATTATTCACCACCAAATCGACTCACAGTGAAAAACTTACCCTACCAATCTTCTACGAAGCTCGACGCTCACAAATTCATTGAGAGTCTCTTTAAAGGCTTTTGAAGGGACTGCCTGTTATTGGATCTGAAGCCTAAGTCTTTTCAGCAATGACATAGAACAAGTGTGGATGAATAATTTGAAAATCTTACGTATTAAAGTTTATTTTATTTCAAATGGCAGGCATTTTGATAGTCATCATTGGCACTACACAGAGGAGAGAAGCATCATAGTGAGAAAAATTTGTGAAGGGGAAAGAAGAATGATTCATAGGTGTAAATAGACAGATGGAAACAAATGCGGAGAAAAGGCAAGATGAGTACTGTTGAAGTACTGATGAAGGAGAGTTATTGCGAATTTTTAGTTAATCAAAGGCAAGCTTTAACTATTTTATTAATTTTCCGAACCAATTTCCTTTGAAACTGAACGGGCTTTTCCGTAATATCCTATTTGAAAAATTTTAAACCGAATATGCTGCGAAACTATAATCATTTCCATTTTATTATATGATTTGAATCATCCAAAAACGGGAAACTAGAAATCAGTACAACTTTGATTGTTATTCCACTCATAACATTTACGGGATCTCTCAAATTGTTAAGAATTTTGCATTGACTTAAAATTGGAGCAAAGATTTGGGGCTATAACAAAGTTGAAAATCGATTTTCTTTTAACTTTCTTAAATAAGCATATTCAGTTACTTCCGACCTTCTGAACTTGTGCTGCAATGGGACTGAAACTTTAGTGAACTGTTGTCATTTATTTATCCAGCTGAGAATTCACAATTAGTTGTTTAATATTTGGGTTTTCTTAACCCATTCAAAACCCAATTTTGCTCCGTGTTAGACTAGAAAATGTTAACATTTCTCTGGTCATTCGTCTTGCATACTACCGTTGGATGCCATCAAAGTAAACTAAACTTACCCATTCGACTAATGTGCAAAATACTCCCGAAACTGGTTTTATGTCGATGAAAATAAAGGGTAGACAAATGGGTTCTGAGGGAATTTGCACAAAATAATTTTTCATTTCCCATTTCAATAACCATGTATCGAATTTTTATTTTGTTATCCTATTTGCAGTAGGGAAGAAAGGGCATTTGTTTTCATTTCCCAGCTTAGCAATATGGGTTTTTATGAAATAGGTATTTCTTTTCACAATGAAAAGTACTATTCAATGTGACTGGAGCAAAGTAGTCATTTAGTGTGCTGTTCTATAATTTTCTTAATTCCCACTATGAGAACCTATTTAAGGTTTTAAATGAATCAACCGAAGCTGCCTATCATGTTGCATAATACTGGCTCATTTATGAGAGCGCATGTTCAAAGCATATGCAAGTGAATAGAGGATAATAACTTACGGATACAATTGTCCAACAAATGTAATTATACCTTGATACAAGGCTGCAGTTGTTTTGGCTTCCTCGTTAAGTACTTTTGACTTATGTCCGAAAACTGTGCGTTAGATAGCGGGGCTTTGATGACAGAACTGTGTTAGTCGGCTGGCACGTTTTAGTTTGAAGTGGATAAAGATGTCTTATAAAATGTTAACTACTACCAAGCGACCTTAAGTATTAGAAGTCTAAGAGATACGAAGATCTATTCAAATTAATCGACCTAAAGCGGTCTATTGTTATGTATTTTAAGTTATCTTACATGGTATTGTAAACAAAAAGGACATTCGATCAATAACAAAAAAATTGACAAATATTCGATTTTCACGGTTAGGCTATTCTTGCCTTAACTGTTTCGAGCTGAAGTGTTATTCGAGAAAGAATCTATCATTTGCAACGAGTTTAATTGATGACAGAATTTGTTTTAGCAAAATATTTAACGTTCAGAACACAAACTCCTTGATAGCATAGTTAACAGAATTTCGCATAGTCAAAATGGCCCCCTCCCCGATTGATGTTGTGTGAAAGCATATGTTAGGTGCTTAGTGCTGTAGTTAACGCTGTCTTGAATCCCTATTGCATATGACCCAAAGGTATAACCCCTAACATGGATAATGACTCGATTGACCTACCTCTCTGAATTCTGTCCACATTTCCTTGTGATGGATGTAGAGACTAGACAAACAAAGCTGATGGCCACAGGATCAGTGATTTATACCATTTCCAACTATTTGCCCCGAAGTCGCCTGCCAGCTCTACCGATATTGTCCTCATAAGTTTAAAGATTTATAAAGTTTGTTTGTTTGTTTGTTTCAAATGGCAGGCGTTATGATAGGTATCATTAGCCCTTTAGTTGACTTCGGGCTTCACAGAAAGGAAAATGAACATTAAAGTGGCAAAACGTCGAGAGGGGGACAGAATAATGATTCACAGACGTAAGAGACAGACAGACACAAAGATAGAAAAAGGTGAGGTGAGCACGA